TGGCAGTAATTTCACGTAGCAAACGCTTTTTGAGGGGTTGTTTAAAATATTGTTAAATTTTCCTTATTATTATTATTATTATTATTATTATTATTATTATTATTATTATTATTATTTTTGCTGTGGATACTATCTATTATTAGTCTGAATGATCACCATCATCTATATCAGAACTACTAGTCGGCTATCTCTGTCAGGAGGCTACGATTAATCAGAGACACCTATCATGCTTAAATTACAGGTTAAATATATACATTAAAAAAAACGTTATTTGATAGTATTTCACCAAGAGTAGTATTCAACAGTAACCTTAAAGTAAACAAATATTATGTTAACAAACGCAGCATAATGATATGAAAACATTACAAAGATATCAACAACGCTGTTCAAATTACAATAATTTCGAGAGCATGATTTACAAGTAAAATGAAAGAACACGCGAAGGCAATATCATATACATTGAAATTAACGTATTTTAATAGTATTCCGTTTCTCCCCGACTTGTCTCCCTACGCAGCCGTCCCATACTCTTAAAAGTGAATTGTCCATTGAGTTTGTTAAAACCTTAGTTACTTAAATTTTGTTCTTGAAAACAAATAATTGATTTATTGTGTTCCTAAAGCCAATCGCACTGAATATTTAGAAAATCCGTTTATTTCAAGCTTCATCGATGAAATACACGTAACTCCTGCCAACCATTAAATTTCCTGCATTTTGTCGCAGCTTTTTTATCTGTGTTTGTTACAAACTTTGTCTTGATTTTAATTGATACCAATCACACTGGCGATGTTTAATGTCGTAACAATGCCCTTGTGTCAATTTTACTCGGAGATTGTGCTGTTTATTGGAAAACAGAGAATGGAGCTTTATTACAAAGAACCCGTTCTTTAGATTTGCATAATTTTTTCACGCTAACAACTCCATCGTGTGAGAGAAGTATAGGATATTCAATTTATAACCATTGCAACGACAGGTTAGTAACTAATTTGGGGAGAAAGAGTCACAGTCTATTTACAGTACTAGCAAGCAAAGAGTGCTATTTCTCGATATTTCTTGGGATTCACAAATGGGCGGTAGAAAGTTAAATATTAAACAGATATAGAATAATATAATCGGTACTCTTCGGAAATTATACGCTACTTGTTTTAGCTAAAATATTAATATCTGACTCTACTTTAAGCTGAAATATCTACCTTATCAGAGTAATATCTGCTCTTTTGATCTGATAGATTTTGACGGACGACACGAACTATTTGTTAGTGTATGTGATCGCCCGTGGACGACTGATTACGCTTGTACGCTTGCGTTCAATCCCATTTGTCCATGAATTCTTCAGGGACTGTCGTGGAAATATTATTGGGGGATTAAAGAGGCTTCTTACATGGGGGGAGGAAGATCCTAGAAGGCAGATCATGCTCGCGCCATATATTTTCTGTATTCAGTTTACATGCAAAACTTTGTACTTGTCCCTAGCGGTAGGATCTTCTTTGCAGTGAGGTACGAATTAAAAATCCTAGCACGAGGAAGATCCTAGCACCAAGTAAACGGCTTTCACTAGGAAGATCCTAGTGTTAGGTACAAACCACACAAAAATGGCTGCGGGCCGTTCAATGGGTTATCTTCAATCTTTAATTCCTTCTCTACTGTTAACCAAACGGACAGAAATTTCTGCATGTAAACTCAACGAAAAGTTGTTCCGTCTTATAGGATCTTCCTCCAGCTCTCTTCATGTAAAAAGCGCCTAAGTATACATCAAATAGGTGTATTCGATGGTAGCTTTAACAAATTAACGAGATTCAAACGATTATAGCCACTATTAATTTGATATTTTTGGCCGATTTAAGTAAAACTACTCTGTCTTACCTTAAGCTTAGCTGTTTAGACAATCTTTTGCATACAGCAGACCTTGCTAGACAGTTTGTAGTCACGCTTCGGTAAGACAAAGTCGGATCAATGGAAGTTTCTGGGTAAATGATCGACCGCTTACCCCTTCCCTTAGTCAACATTGACACTTACTTCTCACTTGGGGCAAAATTGTGAATTAGGGGAGGGGTAGGTGGTAAGTTATCCAGAAACCTCAATTAATCCACATAATATAAAGGTTCGATATGGGTAATTCATTACGATATATTGCTTGAACGCGAGTTATATTTCCTTTAGAGTTCACGTATCCTGACTCTATGTAAATCCAGTCACCTAGCTACATCCTCTACGTTCTCTCACGAAAAAGAAGTCAGCAAAGGATTATCAGTTAGTAGGAAAGAGATTTTAAGTGCACGGATTTGTTCACCTGCAAATCTACCTGCCACAAAACCCCACAAGGTTTGTTTGTTTTGTTTGTTAACGTGGCGGTGGTTTATAAAACATTTATGGCAGACCGCGGTGCGGTTTTCACCAAGGCATTTCTAAAAACAAACGCTTTATAGCTTTGTCAAATAATTAACTTACCATACGTATATAAAGTTTTATTATCAATTTCTAGGGCAAGGATATATTTTCTACAGGTCGCCTGACCTTGAGGAATATTTGCTTTGTCGTATGTGAGTTAATGTGTTTATAATATTCTTTTAACCATAATCGTTTCGAGAGACTGATAATCGAATTATCTCATTCCAAACTCTGATTCAATACATTTCTAACTTTTATATCTGTGGACGAAATCTTGTGGAGTTACCCTTCTAATGAAACCAGTTTGGCAGTAATTTCACGTAGCAAACGCTTTTTGAGGGGTTGTTTAAAATATTGTTAAATTTTCCTTATTATTATTATTATTATTATTATTATTATTATTATTATTATTATTATTATTTTTGCTGTGGATACTATCTATTATTAGTCTGAATGATCACCATCATCTATATCAGAACTACTAGTCGGCTATCTCTGTCAGGAGGCTACGATTAATCAGAGACACCTATCATGCTTAAATTACAGGTTAAATATATACATTAAAAAAAACGTTATTTGATAGTATTTCACCAAGAGTAGTATTCAACAGTAACCTTAAAGTAAACAAATATTATGTTAACAAACGCAGCATAATGATATGAAAACATTACAAAGATATCAACAACGCTGTTCAAATTACAATAATTTCGAGAGCATGATTTACAAGTAAAATGAAAGAACACGCGAAGGCAATATCATATACATTGAAATTAACGTATTTTAATAGTATTCCGTTTCTCCCCGACTTGTCTCCCTACGCAGCCGTCCCATACTCTTAAAAGTGAATTGTCCATTGAGTTTGTTAAAACCTTACTTACTTAAATTTTGTTCTTGAAAACAAATAATTGATTTATTGTGTTCCTAAAGCCAATCGCACTGAATATTTAGAAAATCCGTTTATTTCAAGCTTCATCGATGAAATACACGTAACTCCTGCCAACCATTAAATTTCCTGCATTTTGTCGCAGCTTTTTTATCTGTGTTTGTTACAAACTTTGTCTTGATTTTAATTGATACCAATCACACTGGCGATGTTTAATGTCGTAACAATGCCCTTGTGTCAATTTTACTCGGAGATTGTGCTGTTTATTGGAAAACAGAGAATGGAGCTTTATTACAAAGAACCCGTTCTTTAGATTTGCATAATTTTTTCACGCTAACAACTCCATCGTGTGAGAGAAGTATAGGATATTCAATTTATAACCATTGCAACGACAGGTTAGTAACTAATTTGGGGAGAAAGAGTCACAGTCTATTTACAGTACTAGCAAGCAAAGAGTGCTATTTCTCGATATTTCTTGGGATTCACAAATGGGCGGTAGAAAGTTAAATATTAAACAGATATAGAATAATATAATCGGTACTCTTCGGAAATTATACGCTACTTGTTTTAGCTAAAATATTAATATCTGACTCTACTTAAAGCTGAAATATCTACCTTATCAGAGTAATATCTGCTCTTTTGATCTGATAGATTTTGACGGACGACACGAACTATTTGTTAGTGTATATGATCGCCCGTGGACGACTGATTACGCTTGTACGCTTGCGTTCAATCCCATTTGTCCACGAATTCTTCGGGGACTGTCTTGGAAATATTATTGGGGGATTAAAGAGGCTTCTCCCATGGAGGGAGGAAGATACTAGAAGGCAGATCATCCTCGCGCCATATGTTTTCTGTATTTAGTTTAAATGCAAAACGTTGTACTTGTCCCTAGCGCTAGGATCTTCCTTGCAGTGAGGTAGGAATTAAAGATCCTAGCACCAGGAAGATCCTAGCACCAAGTAAACTGCTTTCACTAGTAGGAAGATCCTAGTGTTAGGTACAAACCACACAAAAATAGCTGCGGGCCGTTCAATGGGTTATCTTCAATCTTTAATTCCTCCTCTACTGTTAACCAAACAGACAGAAAATTCTGCACGTAAACCCAACGAAAAGTTGTTCCGTCTTATAGGATCTTCCTCCAGCTCTCTTTATGTAAAAAGCCCCTAAGTATACATCAAATAGGTGTATTCGGTGGTAGCTTTAACAAATTAACGAGATTCAAACGATTATAGCCACTATTAATTTGATATTTTTGGCCGATTCAAGTAAAACTACTCTGTCCTACCTTAAGCTTAGCTGTTTAGACAATCTTTTGCATACAGCAGACCTTGCTAGACAGTTTGTAGTCACGCTTCGGTAAGACAAAGTCGGATCAATGGAAGTTTCTGGGTAAATGATCGACCGCTTACCCCTTCCCTTAGTCAACATTGACACTTACTTCTCACTTGGGGCAAAATTGTGAATTAGGGGAGGGGTAGGTGGTAAGTTATCCAGAAACCTCAATTAATCCACAAAGTCCTTTGAGTCCTTTTTCTTGGCAATTCTGTGTTACTTAAATGAGGTGTGGTCTTATTGAAATGATTCTTAAATGATAATGATGACGATGACGATATTGATGATGATGATGATGATGATGATGACGACGACCAAAAAGAGGATGATGATGATGATTTGGTAACATTCCATTGATTTCTTTCAGCTTGTTTACTCCAATGCAACTGACACCATGTCTGAATCGCACTTGTTAGCACCTCCTCAGGAGCCGTCGCGCAACTATCGCTCCCACTCCCTGAAAACACAGAGTCAGCCCTTCCTGTTTCCACCCCGAACTAAGCGACGTACCCTGAGTCTTCCATCGACCAAACCAATCATCCCGCCCTTCATTGTCATAAGCGATTACCAAGGCAACAATGTAAGTGAACGCGAAGATGGAGAATTAAGATGTGAATATCACAAGGAATGCATGGGTAAGTTTTTTTTTGTGCGTGTATGTCCGCGTGATTTCGTTTTCTCGTTCAGAGACTGTAGACAGTCAGTTTCAGTTTAAGAATATGTGCTTTTAAGATTCCAAAAAACATGGCACGTCCAGGAATGTTTAAGAGATATGTAAGTACCATTATACTATTACTATACCGTCAAAATCCATTTCGTTTTTGTTTTCTCATTTCAATTGATAAATACCGTTTTTGTTTCAGAAAACAACAACGATATATGGTTTGCATTAAAAAAACACTGGTCGTTGTAGTAAACCGACACCATAATGCATACATGTTTGGTCAATTTCTAATATCAAAATTAAACGCGTAATTTTTCGTTATCCCTCTTCTTTTCAGCGTGGTACACGCCCGTACTTGGTTTTTCTTGTAGTGTTCTGATTTACTTCTGCTCATGCGCACTGGCCTACTATTCAAAAGCAAGTTAACCACTAGTATGTTTTCGTATTTCGTGACTTCATTTATTTATGGATTTCCTGAAACGTCCAGTTCCACGAATTTTTGCCGCTCTGTATCGCTGGGTCATCGCTGACGTTTAAAGGTGAAGCAGTCATCTTGTGTTCTCGTCCCAAACATTGCTGGCCACATAATTCCAGTCAGAGCTCTCACCATCTCGTGTCCAATCATGCTGGCGTAAACCTTTACTGGAAGGTGCAGGGCATTCTTACAGGAGGATGGCAATAGGTTTGGTCTGGGACTGAACTTGTCATAAGGATGCTTGTTATAACAAGAACAACACGTTTTATTGAAATTCAACATTATAACTGATGAAATCATTTTCCCACCCACAAAAAGCCTAGAGAGAGAGGGGAGAGGAAAGATCTATTTACAATACAAGGTTCTATTAGTTGGACTAAATAATAATAAAGACACTACAATACAATAAATAAAATAAACTAATATAAAACAAAGTATTACCAAAAAACGATTACGAAGAGAGACAAACGTTATTGGTACACGAAACATATCAAAGAAAACAATAAAACATTGGATGTATGAGAGAAATAGGACCACTTTACAGAGCAAATTCACACACACGTCCGTCCAACTTGGTCAGCTCAATTGACTTGAGTCTTTTTTTGCTCAGATTGCCACAAATTTGACTAGTTCCGCAATCAAATCGTCACCAGAGCCTTCATCACCCTTGTCCGCGAGACAGGCAAATCTTATAAAGGCGGGAATTACGCAGATCTCGGAGAGTGTTATCGGTCTCGGCAGATAACAGCCTCCTCGTTGCTAAATAATTTTTCATATCATACTCAGCCTCACCTAACAATGCTAATTATTTTGTTGTCAGCCATTTGCCATTCTGTTGTCTGTCACTAGAGAGTTTTAAAATTGTTGACCCCCTCATTTCATTTACAAGCGTTGGTTTAGTTTGTAAACTTATAAAGTGTGGCACTGACAGTTTTTCTTAATTTTACCAAAGTGTTCATTCAGTCTTAAGCATCCGGCAAAATCGATTGTAAGTGCGAAGCGCAATGTTCTCAAAGCAGAGGCTTAAGAATGAATGCCATCTTACCGATTAATTTAAAACCTTCCTTAAATACAGATGTTTTTAGGAATCATTTTTAGCTTCACACGTTGCATAATCTTTGTCAAGTTTATTGAGACTAGGAAAAATATTTTTATCCTAAAAACGTCATTTTACATTCCAAAAGTCGTTGATTGTTTTCCTTTTTAACCTATCCTTTATTTTGTCAACGTGGTATTGAAACAAGTTCTGTTTACTTCATGACTAACCTCAGCGACCAGTTTGGTCCAAAACAGATGGACATCAGTTATGAATTCACTTCTTTGTAATCTATTTTTTAACTAATATCGCAAAAGGCATGACGCCCCGCGATTAAACTCATCTCCGCCGTATCAGGAAATTGCGAGCAACGAAACAAAAGAGAACTGTTAGATCGACGATTAGCTCGCTTTATACACCTTTCACACTCTTTCGCTTCTCCGCGGCGTGTTGGTTTACTAAAATCACTAAACGATCATCTCTGTTGTGGTCCTTTTTTTAATCCTGTACGATTTGTCCCTGTTTATTTTCGTTAAATGAGCTAATTAGTAAGTTTCAAGTCTGTTTGTCTCGAGTCTGAACCAGTCCAATATCACTCAAGCTTTGCATTCGGTAAGTACCTGTTTAAATATTGCTATCTCTGGCTCATATCATAGTTTTATATTTATGGGTTTTTTAAAATTGTTTCTCCTTTTTAAAAAATACCCCTCTGTTGTGTTGCTCGCGCTGGGAAAAATCATAACGAAATTGAAAATGGTTAAGAGTATTCGCCTCAATTTTTACATTAATTTTCCGAAATAAACTACCTTTTATTACTCTAATACCTTAGTAAACTGACACAGTTGAAAATCGTCGAAAGGTACATAATATTTCAGCTTTCTGCTAAAAATGACTAATGATTGACACTTTTTCACGAAAAAATATTAAAGAATATACTTTGCAGACGATATTACATACAATTTAAGGTTTTTTTAATGTTCATTTTGCACAAATAGTATAATTTGGCATTTTATATTTCGAATATTTTTTCTAATTAAATATGAGTTTAATTGTACCGAAATTCTTTAGGTTGATTTGTAAATAATCCAGTTCTTCTAGGTTGATTATCTTTATGTTTCGTCTAGCTTGGTCTTTGTGCAAAGATAAATTACAATCCTACAGCTTTTTCCCGCTTGAAAATTCATTAAGTAACAAATAGGCATGCATGATATGAATCTCAAAGTGACGTCAAAAGCCTTTTAAGAAGCCTTCATCCCCCGCAGCATGAAGATATTCAACTTTTAGGAAAAGAAAAATCAGTTGGTAATGGAAAGATATGTTTCAAACCGATAAAATACTAAAATATCGCATGTCGCGATACTGCCTGAAAGTTATCGCCAATGGAACTGAGAGCCCTTATGGCATTGTTCATGCGCAAGGGCCTGGAGCTAGTGGTAAAAAGCATTATAATTGCATTGCTTCTAAACCTGAAACCAGCCAGGGTTTATTTGATTTGAGACGACGTCATAAAAACTATGGCTTACGTTAGGAGCGTAAAAAGGTTGGGAGGGAGGGGATGGAAGGATGACGCAGTGACTGCCTATTATATTATCGTTCATAAAGCTAAAGACCACATGCAGAGCGAAAGAGATATTCCGTATTCGAGGGGCCCATAAGTTAAAGTTGTTTATTCAAAAGGACCTACTACAAAACGTCTGCTTTAGTACAATCGGGTAAAAAAGAAGGAAATTTGAAAAGTAAATACTGAAAAAAAAAATCATTTTTCGTAGCATTATATTAATTGTTCGCTTTTCTTTATTTCAATTTTGTAATAGCTACAAGTCTCCGCCAGTCATGTTTACAATTTTACATCTATCGGCGTCAATCTTTAGGTCGTTTTAAAACATTTGAAAAGTTATTTATTTTGCAGTCTTTCAAAGTGTCAATTAGAGGCTTCCGTGTTTGAAATGTTAATATTTTCTGAAGGATAATTTCCTGCGATTTTCTTGAAACATTCATTACTGCCTCAGGTTTGCAAATAAAAACCGAAACCGAAACAAAAACAAGTGTATCTAAGATATTGTTTTCTGCGACACTGCTCTAAGAAAAAACCGTTTTTAGAACTTAGAAATTAAGGTGTTTCCTTTGCAAACGCTTTAAGGCACTCAGCAACAAAAATAGCCGACAGTTTTCGCGTACTTTAATTTAGCAGTTTCTCAGCTCCCTCCCGCCTTATTTGTTATTTTCGATTTGCCGCGAGTTGATTTATTTGCAGCTGCTGTAATAATCTTTGTAGTCTTTCTTTCAGTACACAGCTTAAATTAAACAAATTTTAATAGAAACTTCGAAAGGAACACAACAAGAGGATCCTCGCAGCTTACTAGCAGTTAAGGGAGTCCCGGAGCTTTTCATATCCTGAAAACTCGGTAGGTTGTGATGAATTAAGATTTTTGCCCTTAAGATTATCCTACACTAAAAGTAGAATATATAGGCAGCTAAACTGCAACAAAAACTGTATTAGGTAAACGTTGTTTAGAACAATGTTATGCTTTAATTTGCATGAGCAGTATCAACATTTTTTGCCAAATCAGAGACAATGTTCCTTAATTTTAGACACGATCAGGATACCAGCCAGTTCTGAATTTAAGGCTTGACTTAAATGAGAAAAAGAAAATATGTTTTTATAATATACTGAGCTCAGTTATTTCAACAACATCCCTTCTTTTCCCTCGAAAGTCACTCAATGTTGAATTAAATCGCGGTTGCATATCAGTGTGGGATTCTAATATTCACCATGTAGGTTCTTTATTTCTTTTTGTTCTATGTTTTCGTTTGTTCATAAACAAGAGGCCACCTTTACATATTTTGCATCGAACAGAATGCAACAAAAAAGAGTTCAAAATATCGTTTAACCTTTGATTAAAATAATTTGAATGTTTATTTTTGTTTTATTTTTCTCCTTGACGCGCTGTTGAGGCGTTTTGGAGCAAGTTAAGTCGCTGGACAGACTGGCAAACACACAAGCATCTAAAGTTTAAAAAAAAGCTGTCTAGTGCTTGGGCTTTTTTTCTCTACTACTGGCTTGCTTTGTATGTTTTTTGTTGTTGCTGTTGCTTTGTTTGGCTATTTTTTCCGTATATGAATGAACAGGAAGTCAAACATTTAGTACAGATGAGGGTAAGACGGGAATTTTTTTTCTCTGTTTCATGTTACTTATTGCCTTTTTTTCAGGGTTATTCTTGGGGTTTACCCTCTGTTTCCCTTTTCCCAGCAAAACTACTCAATCTAAAACCATCCCTTAATTTTCTTTGCCTTTTTCGTTTTAGCTTTTTTTATTCATGACTACCATGTCTGACCGTGTCACTCTGTGTCTACCAACAAGCAACATACAAACACGCTCTGTTCGAAGCCAATCGTTTAACCCCCCTCCCACGCTTGGATGTCATCGCTCAAGAAGAACACTTAGTCTTCCGGCACGAGAGAAGCCGATCATTCCTCCGGCGATCACGGAAAGTTCCGAATGCGCTCCGTTGGTTCACAACCAGAATTCCGAGGAAATGCAGAGGCATTTACAAGGAGAAGGTTGCGATATTGGTAATGTTATGCTCGAGTCTATGTTCCCCCTTCTCGCTCCTTTTTTTACCAGATATACACCTCCCTTGTTTCCCTAGACTATCTATATCAGCTTTATAATGAGACTTTTTATCAGGGTCACCTAAGGAGAATATAGTTCAAAACCACTTAAACACTTAAACATAGCATTGTTAAACGTATTTTAGTATTTAAACGGTAGATATAGGCATATTTTTATCCCCTAAAAATTTTTCATCTCTTCTGATTTTCTAGCTGAAAAACTATAGGTATTAAAACTGACCTTTTCGAAAATTTCAGCCAGAAAAAAGGCTCCTGAAAATTCTAGGTGACCTTTTTAGGGAA